TCGTTCGCCAGGCCTGGCGAACACCTGCCTTAGTTTAAGAGTAAGGCCTCCCTCACTCAGATGTTCGCCTGGCGAAGCTTCGCCAGGCGAACGCCAGCATTGGCGAAAGGTTTTATAAGTACTTTATACTACACTATATCAACCTTATACTTTTATACAAAAAATAACTTTATACTTTAACAAGAGTTTAAAAATTACTATTTTACTATTCCTAACTGATGTAAGATATTGAACTGTAGGCCTACAAGGGTATCATTAAAGACGCCTCATTATAGGGCGGTGGAGCACTACAGCTCTGTTTCTATAGCCAAAAGTAAACATGCCGCCATAAAAAACTTTCTGGTAACATTTGTGAATAGAACATTATCCTTACAACCAAAATAACAACAACCTAAATCTAAATAAGTCATCTCGGGGGTGGGGGGTAGGGGTAGGGGGTAGGAATACAGCTGATGTCTTGAGCTCTCGACTGGAACATCGAAGGTCTTGAAAAAAATACGTATATACGTTATTTCATAACAAATTATGATTTTAAGATATTTTATAATTTCAATGTGATTCCTACATCCTATCATACACAAATATGTTACTAATTTATAATTTGAAAGCAAGAAAATGGTATTCAAACAGCTCTCTTCGCCAGGCTGTTCCAATATAATATTTCGCCAGCCCTGGCGAACGTTCGCCAGGCATGATTTTAAAAGTACGAAATTCCGGATCGCCCGGCGAAACCCTTCGCCAGCCCTGGCGAAGGGTTTTTAAAGTACGGGCCTAAGAGTAAAGTTATGACATTATTATTTTTCACGAATCACGACGAATATAGGCGATCACAAACACAAACTCTGGTCTATGAACAAACGGGTGTCGTAACGAGCAAGGTGCAGTAACAAACACAGGTCTAACAACAAACACAGCTCCAATAACAAAAACAGATCTACTCCCAAACACAGGCGTATTACCAAACAAGACCTAACGACAAACAACCTTCAACCACTCATCTAATGGCACTTCTTGGAGGACGAACGCTACCCAGAAGGCCAGGAGAGCCACCAGGGGCATGCTGGGCACGAGACAGGCCCTTCCGCTGTAGTGGGGGCAGTAGGGGCATTGGTACGAGCCGCACACCTCGCACACGTCGAGGGCAGCCAGGGAGGTCGCGTTGATCACTACCGTCTCGAAGTGCTCTGGGAAACCAGGACGCGGTAGTTTGATTTTAATGTGATAATTTTCCATCTTTATTCTATTATCATTGTTATAGTTATTGTTATTATTATCATCATTATCATTATTATCACTATTATGATTATTATTATTATCATTATTATTATTATTATTATTATTATTATTATTATTATTATCCTTATCATTATTATTATCATTATTACTCTTATTATTGTTATCACTATTATCACCAACATAAGCATTATCATTATCATGACGTTTATACCCGTTTTACAATGTCTTTTATGTTATACCATTTTTATCTATTATTCATAACTTCTCTTAATATATCTTATTAACTCTTTAACACGTATTATTTATGCCTGTTTTTCACACACACACACACACACACACACACACACACACACACACACACACACACACACACACACACACACACACACACACACACACACACACACACACACAGCACAACCCACCTGGCGCAAAAAGTTCAAATATCGTTGCCGAGCGAATTGCCGTCAGATTCGCCACAGGAAACCGACGTCTAGTTGTGAAGGAGAAACACTGGCGCTGTTTGCTCGGTACCTGTCGGGTTGAGACAAGTTAGGTGTGTTGGATTGTTTAATTGCTTCATTTGTGGAATGAAAGACGGACATGAAAAGCACAGGGTAAAAGTGAGGAATTGGAGAGCCAAGTTAGGTGTGTTGGATTGCTTGACTGCCGAAACACGGGTATGAAAAGCACAGGGTAAAAGTGAGGAATTGGAGAGCCAAGTTAGGCGTGTTGGATTGCTTCATTTGTGGAATGAAAGACGGGCATGAAAAGCACAGGGTAAAAGTGGGGAATTGGAGAGCCAAGTTAGGCGTGTTGGATTGCTTCATTTGTGGAATGAAAGACGGGCATGAAAAGCACAGGGTAAAAGTGAGGAATTGTTAGGTGAGTTGGATTGCTTCATTTGTGGAATGAAAGACGGGCATGAAAAGCGGTAAAGTGGGGAATTGGAGAGCAAGTTAGGCGTGTTGGATTGATTTGTGGAATGAAAGACGGGCATGAAAAGCACGGGGTAAAAGTGAGGAATTGGAGAGACAAGTTAGGCGTGTTGGATTGCTTCTTTTGTGGAATGAAAGACGGGCATGAAAAGCACGGGGTAAAAGTGAGGAATTGGAGAGACGAGTTAGGCGTGTTGGATTGCTTCGTTTGTGGAATGGAAGACGGGCATGAAAAGCACAGGGTAAAGTGAGGAATTGGAGAGAAAGTTAGGTGTGTTGGATTGCTTCATTTGTGGAATGGAAGACGGGCATGAAAAGCACAGGGTAAAAGTGAGGAATTGGAGAGACAAGTTAGGTGTGTTGGATTGCTTGACTGCTTCATTTGTGGAATGGAAGACGGGCATGAAAAGCACGGGGTAAAAGTGAGGAATTGGAGAGACAAGTTAGGCGTGTTGGATTGCTTCATTTGTGGAATGAAAGACGGGCATGAAAAGCACAGGGTAAAAGTGAGGAATTGGAGAGAAAGTTAGGCGTGTTGGATTGCTTCATTTGTGGAATGAAAGACGGGCATGAAAAGCACAGGGTAAAAGTGAGGAATTGGAGAGACAAGTTAGGCGTGTTGGATTGCTTCATTTGTGGAATGGAAGACGGGCATGAAAAGCACAGGGTAAAGTGAGGAATTGGAGAGAAAGTTAGGTGTGTTGGATTGCTTCATTTGTGGAATGGAAGACGGGCATGAAAAGCACAGGGTAAAAGTGAGGAATTGGAGAGACAAGTTAGGCGTGTTGGATTGCTTCATTTGTGGAATGGAAGACGGGCATGAAAAGCACAGGGTAAAAGTGAGGAATTGGAGAGAAAGTTAGGCGTGTTGGATTGCTTCATTTGTGGAATGGAAGACGGGCATGAAAAGCACAGGGTAAAAGTGAGGAATTGGAGAGACAAGTTAGGCGTGTTGGATTGCTTCATTTGTGGAATGGAAGACGGGCATGAAAAGCACAGGGTAAAAGTGAGGAATTGGAGAGACAAGTTAGGCGTGTTGGATTGCTTCATTTGTGGAATGGAAGACGGGCATGAAAAGCACAGGGTAAAAGTGAGGAATTGGAGAGAAAGTTAGGCGTGTTGGATTGCTTCATTTGTGGAATGGAAGACGGGCATGAAAAGCACAGGGTAAAAGTGAGGAATTGGAGAGACAAGTTAGGCGTGTTGGATTGCTTCATTTGTGGAATGGAAGACGGGCATGAAAAGCACAGGGTAAAAGTGAGGAATTGGAGAGAAAGTTAGGCGTGTTGGATTGCTTCATTTGTGGAATGGAAGACGGGCATGAAAAGCACAGGGTAAAAGTGAGGAATTGGAGAGAAAGTTAGGCGTGTTGGATTGCTTCATTTGTGGAATGGAAGACGGGCATGAAAAGCACAGGGTAAAAGTGAGGAATTGGAGAGACAAGTTAGGCGTGTTGGATTGCTTCATTTGTGGAATGGAAGACGGGCATGAAAAGCACAGGGTAAAAGTGAGGAATTGGAGAGAAAGTTAGGCGTGTTGGATTGCTTCATTTGTGGAATGGAAGACGGGCATGAAAAGCACAGGGTAAAAGTGAGGAATTGGGAGACAAGTTAGGGCGTGTTGGATTGCTTCATTTGTGGAATGGAAGACGGGCATGAAAAGCACAGGGTAAAAGTGAGGAATTGGAGAGACAAGTTAGGCGTGTTGGATTGCTTCATTTGTGAATGGAAGACGGGCATGAAAAGCACAGGGTAAAAGTGAGGAATTGGAGAGACAAGTTAGGCGTGTTGGATTGCTTCATTTGTGGAATGGAAGACGGGCATGAAAAGCACAGGGTAAAAGTGAGGAATTGGAGAGAAAGTTAGGCGTGTTGGATTGCTTCATTTGTGGAATGGAAGACGGGCATGAAAAGCACAGGGTAAAAGTGAGGAATTGGAGAGACAAGTTAGGCGTGTTGGATTGCTTCATTTGTGGAATGAAAGACGGGCATGAAAAGCACAGGGTAAAAGTGAGGAATTGGAGAGAAAGTTAGGCGTGTTGGATTGCTTCATTTGTGGAATGGAAGACGGGCATGAAAAGCACAGGGTAAAAGTGAGGAATTGGAGAGACAAGTTAGGCGTGTTGGATTGCTTCATTTGTGGAATGGAAGACGGGCATGAAAAGCACAGGGTAAAAGTGAGGAATTGGAGAGACAAGTTAGGCGTGTTGGATTGCTTCATTTGTGGAATGGAAGACGGGCATGAAAAGCACAGGGTAAAAGTGAGGAATTGGAGAGACAAGTTAGGCGTGTTGGATTGCTTCATTTGTGGAATGGAAGACGGGCATGAAAAGCACAGGGTAAAAGTGAGGAATTGGAGAGCCAAGTTAGGGCGTGTTGGATTGCTTCATTTGTGGAATGGAAGACGGGCATGAAAAGCACAGGGTAAAAGTGAGGAATTGGAGAGAAGTTAGGCGTGTTGGATTGCTTCATTTGTGGAATGGAAGACGGGCATGAAAAGCACAGGGTAAAAGTGAGGAATTGGAGAGCCAAGTTAGGGGTTGGATTGATTGCTTCATTTGTGGAATGAAAGACGGGCATGAAAAGCACAGGGTAAAAGTGAGGAATTGGAGAGCCAAGTTAAGTGTTGGATTGCTGCTTCATTTGTGGAATGAAAGACGGCATGAAAAGCACAGGGTAAAAGTGAGGAATTGGAGAGCCAAGTTAGGTGTGTTGGATTGCTTCATTTGTGGAATGAAAGACGGGCATGAAAAGCACAGGGTAAAAGTGAGGAATTGGAGAGCCAAGTTAGGCGTGTTGGATTGCTTCATTTGTGGAATGAAAGACGGCATGAAAAGCACAGGGTAAAGTGAGGAATTGGAGAGCCAAGTTAGGGTGGTTGGATTGCTTCATTTGTGGAATGAAAGACGGGCATGAAAAGCACAGGGTAAAGTGAGGAATTGGAGAGCCAAGTTAGGTGAGTTGGATTGCTTCATTTGTGGAATGAAAGACATGAAAAGCACAGGGTAAAAGTGAGGAATTGCCAAGTTAATTGCTTCATTTGTGGAATGAAAGACGGGCATGAAAAGCACAGGGTAAAAGTGAGGAATTGGAGAGCCAAGTTAGATTGCTTTTTGTGGAATGAAAGACGGCATGAAAAGCACAGGGTAAAAGTGAGGAATTGGAGAGCCAAGTTAGGCGTGTTGGATTGCTTCATTTGTGGAATGAAAGACGGGCATGAAAAGCACAGGGTAAAAGTGGGGAATTGGAGAGCCAAGTTAGGTGAGTTGGATTGCTTGACTGCGTCATTTGTGGAATGAAAGACGGGTATAAAAAGCATAGGGTAAAAGTGAGGAACATGGAGGGTGGTCGTGTGTTTGGTAATGTGTGTGGGAAGAATTGTAGTGTTGTGTAGTGATGTATAGTGTAGTGTAGTGTAGTGTGTGTGTGTGTGTGTGTGTGTGTGTGTGTGTGTGTGTGTGTGTGTGTGTGTGTGTGTGTGTGTGTGTGTGTGTGTGTGTGTGTGTGTGTGTGTGTGTGTGTGTTTACGTGCGTTCACATGTATTTGTGTGTGTTTAATTGCATGTATTTTATAATTTTTTATGCCCGTATGGAAGAGACACGTACGTAATTGCATGCGTACACACACACACACACACACACACACACACACACACACACACACACACACACACACACACACACACACACACGCACACACAGGGAGAGAGAGAGAGAGAGAGAGAGAGAGAGAGAGAGAGAGAGAGAGAGAGAGAGAGAGAGAGAGAGAGAGAAGAGAGAGAGAGAGAGAGAGAGAGAGTGAGAGAGAGAGAGAGAGAGAGACAGAGAGAAAGAGAAAAAAAAAACAAACAAACAAACTTACAAACTGAAACTGCCAAAAAGTCCTCTCTGGCGTGGAGTGTGAATTGACAAGCTGTGGAAACTTCTTTCGATTCCTCTTGGCAGCTTCGTTGGCATTGGGCTGAGGGATGACATAACCGCTTGCCATGTCTATCTCAAGCATGGCTGCGTGACTGGTGCTTGACACGTCCTCTGCCACCCATCTGTGGTTGGACATTCGGGTTTCATATTATTTTTTGTATATTGCATTATTATCACTGTTATTGTTTTTGTTATAATTGTATTATTTGTTGTGATGATGGTGATGACGATGATGGTGGTGGTGATGATGATGATGATGATGATGTTGATAATAATGATGATGATGATGAAGAACAAGAAGATGAAGATGATGAAGAAGAAGAAGATGATGGTGATGAAGAAGGAGATGAAGAAGAAGATAAAGATGAAGATGATGTTAATGATGAAGAGGAAGAAAAAGATGGTGATGAGTTTTCTGATTATCATTATCATTCACTATCCTCGACCCACACGACTCACCCGTTCCACCCACCTCGCACACGCCGTCGTTGTGATCAAAGTCTTGTTCCTGAAGTTGGGATACGCCTCTGTGACCCTCAGCTCGAAGTACTTCCTTGCGGGTCGTTTCAGGTACCGTTCCAGGTCAACGCCCCAGCTGACCTCCAGTTGGGCCACCGCCTGACCTGCCCCTTCGGCCACTAGGTTGACGTGACCCCATGGGCGCGCGATCTGGGGTCAAGGTGGAGGTGGGAGGTTAGTTGGAGGTGAGGGGTAAGGGGTGGGGTGGTGTGGTATGTGTATGTGTGTGTGTTTCTGTGTTTGTGTGTGTGTGTGTGTTTGTGGTGTGTGTGTGTGCGCGTGTGTATGTATATGTCCATCTACTCTAGTCCTTCCGGAACCCATGCGGATCCGTGTGTATCTCTGCCCCTAACCACACACATTCATACCCATTACAAAACTGAACCCACGTAAAATATGCGATATAGGCCTACATTTAATCGCTGATAATCATCGCCTGTAAAACCTGTCCCATGTGCCAGCATCTAAAAATACTTAAGTGTATGCTCATTTACTTCCGTTTTCTATGATCTTCCCCCAGGCTACCATTCTCTAATTCTCCCCCCCCCTCGATCTCATACCCGCGTGACTTCATAGACCCTATCACCCAAAGCTGCCCAGAGCTCCAAAGTGACGAGACCTTTCATAAATAAACCTTACCCAAACCCACCCAAAAGCCGCGTCCACTCACCGGAACACTCCTCATGAGCGACAAGGCGTCCTTCCCGATGGAAATGTTCGTCTTGAGGTCGGGGAAGGACGTGGCGGTCATTTTGACGCGAAGAGCGGTGACGTCCCTCAGCCGCGCTCTGTAGCTGTACTCTGCCAGCGACCGCAGAGCCACCACCGTGTCCTGGGTAATGGTGGCGACAAGAAGAAAAAGGGGCTGAATCTTAAATAACTATAATCTTTTATTTTTTTCTTTTATGCGACTGGCGATGAGTGATTTCCTCCCCCGAAGATTACTGGAATCTTTGTTTTCATTTTTTGTGACATCTTATCCTCTCGGTTTTGATTTTAAAATGATAGATAGCTAAGTATGCCAACAGAGGCAAAGGGAGGAGGAGGAAGATGGTAAAAATGATAATGATGATGATGAGATGGAGGAGAAAAGGGAAAATAAGAAAAAGAAGAATAAGTAGGAGGTGGAAGAAAAAGAGGAGGAAAGGGAGAAGGAGGAGGAAGAAGAGAAGGAGAGGGAGGAGGAGAGAGAGGAGGAGGAGGAGGAGGAAGAAGAGAAGGAGAGGGAGGAGGCGGAAGAAGAGGAGGAGGAGAACATGATGAAAAATGAGAAGAAAACCCTCAAGTGCGCTACCACAGAAGAGCTGAAGGCTCGATTCCAGTCCCTGACGGAGGTGAGCCACTCGACGATGGCCTCCTGGCGCTCCGTGACGCCCTCTCGCATGAGGAACACCATGAGGGCGTAGCTAGTGGCCTCCACGGCGTAGGAGTCCCATTCCTGCGGTTCCTTCGGCAGGAGGAAGGAGTGCTGACTGTCCTCTGCGCGCCTTACGTTGCTCTCGATGGCCTTCTTCGACCAGTGGATCTTCCCGTCTGTGGGCGTGAGGGGGACAGGTGGGTGGGCTGTGGTATGCTTGTGTTGGTTATTGGTACATATTTTGGTTACGTACAGTCTAGTACGAAAGTTGTGTAGCGTGAATCATGCAAGTGTGTACTTTATTTTTCATTTTTGGTGGGATTTTTTTTCTACTGACCAAGTCCTCTTGTTACCTTTATCTTACAGTTTTTTAGCTTTACTTAACATTGTCTTGTCTTTGTAATTCTAAACCATGGTTGGCATTACCTATTCCTCCTACTCTAGGTTACGATATTACATTCAACATACTTATTCTCTATGAGTGTCATTATCTACAGTAACACCTGTTTTGCATTATTACAGCCTTCAAAAATCTCCTGTTCACATTTTCCCTTCTGTAGCATTAGCACAATCTAAAGACATATCCTCTTTTCAACTGCCCTGTGTTCTAATACCTGTAGTACAGCATCAACATATAACTCGTTTCTTGTGAGTGCTACTAATGCCTTATAAATTATACTCCTATGGGTGGTGTTAGTACAACCTTTCATACTGGTCCTCTACCGTTGGTGTTAGTTCAGGGTTATATTCTGGTTCCCATTGTATGGCATTAGTTCACTCTTGCATACTGGTATGGATGTCTTAAGTCCAATCTTATGTACTGGTCTTCAACCTTGTACCGTTAGTACAACTTTAACAGAACTCGTTTACATCTAAGGTAGTACTATAACCTTAACACACAACCTCATCCCCTTTGTAAAATTGGCACAGCCGTCCCCTTCAGATGTACCTACTATTACTTCTACTATTCCTCCTACACCTTCTTCTCTCCTCCTCCTCCATCTTCTTTTCCTACTCCTACTCCTTCTTCTCCTCCTACCCATTCTCTCTCTTCTCCTCCTACTCCTACTCCTTCTCCTCCTCCTCCTCCTACTCCTTCTTTTCCTCCTACTCCTTCTTCTCCTCCTACTCCTTCTTCTTCTCCTTCCCCTTACTTCTACTATTCCTCCTACACCTTCTTCTCTCCTCCTCCTCCATCTTCTTTTCCTACTCCTACTCCTTCTTCTCCTCCTACCCATTCTCTCTCTTCTCCTCCTACTCCTTCTTCCTACTCTACTCCTTCTTTTCCTCCTACTACTCTACTCCTTCTCCTTTTCCTCCTACTCCTTCTCCTCCTCCTACTCTTCTCTCTCTTCTCCTTGTCCTCTTCCTTCTCCTTCTCCTTCTATTACCTGCAACTCTGGCTTGCCTCTCCAGCATCTTCGCAGCAACTTCCTTACTCGGGCTATTGACGAGTGCGAGGGCGTAGGCGGTGATGGCCAACTCATACGGCTCCCACAGGCTTTGCAAACTCTGCTCCAGGTATCTAAAGGTATTCGGAGAGTGATTGCAGGAGGTTCAAATACTTTATTTATTCTTATTCATTTATTTTTATTTTTTTAGAGAGAGAGAGAGAGAAGAGAGAGAGAGAGAGAGAGAGAGAGAGAGAGAGAGAGAGAGAGAGAGAGAGAGAGAGAGAGAGAGAGAGAGAGAGAGAGAGAGAGAGAGAGAGAGAGAGAGATTATTGGAAGTCATCAACTTTTAAAACCGGGGATAAGTTTGGGTTATTTTGGTGTGTCGTCTTAGGAGTTTAAAAGGTTTCAAAATAATATATTATATTAATTTAGGTGAGATCATAGGGAACTATAATGTAAAGATACAGATATTAACAGTGGGAAAGTAACTGCATTGGCGATATAATTCTGCTGTCATACACGACACGAGATTACATTAGAGGCAAAATAATGGGGAAAAAATTAGATGAAGAGAAGTGACAAGTACATCAAAAATACTCATTTTTTTCTACTGCTAACAATATCGATGTTGTTAATAATATAATATTAATGACTTGTTATAATATTAATCAATAACAGCAATAGCAATAGAAAGATAAAAAATAAGGAAATGGGTAAACAGGTGAGATAGGTAGGGTTATTCACTGACCCCTTGGTGAATAAAATACTTGTGGAGAAATTTAAGCTAGTTAATCCACAAATTTGCACATAGAAAAAGAAAATGGGCATAATCTACTCATTCCCGTGTAGCAAATGAGCTTACTATTTAAGTACCTTCTTTCTTCTTCCCTTCTTCCTCATAGAAAACGGACCTTATCTCTCTCGCCTCGCCCTAATCTCTCCTCTTTACACTGAGTATCTTTCCCTCGAAGAAAACAGGACTTTTATCTCTCTCTCGTCTCGCCCTTACCCCTACCTTTATCTCAGTACCTTTCCCTCACAGAAAACTGATCTTTCTCTCGTCTCGCTTTTATCTCTCCTCTCATCTACAGAAAACGGACCTTTTCTCCCCTCTTACCTACAGAAAACGGACCTTTTCTTTCCTCTTATCTACAGAAAACGGACCTTTTCTCTCCTCTTATCTACAGAAAACGGAACTTTTCTCTCCTCTTATCTACAGAAAACGGACCTTTTCCCTCCTCTTATCTACAGAAAACGGACCTTATCTCTCGTCTCACCCTTACCACTACCTTTATCTCTGTACCTTTCCCTCACAGAAAACAGACCTTTATCTCTACCTTTTTTTTAGTACCTTTCTCTCACTCTCTTGTCTCGTCTCGCCCTTACCCCTACCTTTACTTCAATACCTTTGCCTCACTCTCTTGTCTTGCCCTTACCCCTACCTTTACTTCACTACCTTTCCCTCTCTCGCCTCGCCTATTTCTCTCCTCCTACCAACGCACCTGATGGCCTTCCCCCTTGCAGTGAAGGCCCGAGCGTGTATACCTTTCCCTCACAGAAAACAGACTTTTATATCTCTCTCTCGTCTCGCCCTTCCCCCTACCTTTATCTCAGTACCTTTCTTTCACAGAAAACGGACTTTATCTCTCTTGTCTCGGCTTTATTTCTCCTCTTATCTACAGAAAACGGACCTTTTCTCTCCTCTTATCTACAGAAAACGGACCTTTTCTCTCCTCTTATCTACAGAAAACGGACCTTTTCTCTCCTCTTATCTACAAAAAAAAAACGGCCCTTATCTCTCCTCTCACCCTCACCACTACCTTTATCTTAGCACCTTTCCCTCACAGAAAACAGACCTTTATCTCTACCTTTTTTTTTAGTACCTTTCTCTCACTTTCTCGTCTTGCCATTACCCCTACCTTTACTTCACTACCTTTCCCTCACTCTCACGTCTTGCCCTTACCCCTACCTTTACTTCATATTGATCTCTCACCCCTACCTTTACTTCATACTTTTCCCTCACTCTCTCGTCTCGCCCTTACCCCTACCTTTACTTCACTACCTTTCCCTCACTCTCATGTCTTGCCCTTACCCCTACCTTTACTTCTCTACCTTTCCCTCACTCTCACGTCTTGCCCTTACCCTACCTTTACTTCATAACCCCTCCTTTACTTCATACCTTTCCTCTCTCTCGTCTTGCCCTTACCCTACTTTACTTTAATACCTTTGCCTCTCTCTCTCGTCTTGCCCTTACCCCTACCTTTACTTCATACCTTTCCCTCTCTCTCTCGTCTTGCCCTTACCCCTACCTTTACTTCACTACCTTTCCCTCTCTCGTCTCTCCTTTACCTCTCCTCCGACCAACGTACCTGATGGCCTTCCCCCTTGCAGTGACGGCCCTGGCGCGTATAACCGAGTCCAGAGACGGTGAAGCCTCGTATAACACAGTCGTTACTAAGGCGGTCAAAGGCAAGGAGGATTTCGCATCGTCCGTCCACGTTTTTTCCTAAAACAAAATGAAAGGGGATGAGTGAATGGTAGATAAATGAGTGAATGAATTGGTGAATAATGGATGAATGAATAGATTAATAACAAATAAGTGAATGAATGAACGAATGAGTGAATAATAGAGAAATGAATGAATGGACAGAAGGGTAATGAATGAAAGAATAGATTAATATCAAACGAGTAAATAAGTGAATGAATGGACGAATGAGTGAATAATAGATAAATGAATGAATGAATAGATGAATAATAGATAGATGAATGAATGAATATATGAATAATAGATAACTTAATGAATGAATAGATGAGTAATAGATAACTGAATAAATGAATAGATTAATAATGTATAAATGAATGAATACATGAATAACAAATGAGCAACTAAATGATGAATAGACGAATGAATGAGTGGACTATAAGTGAATGAATGAACGAATGAAAGAATAATAAATAAATGAACAAATAAATGATAATTGAGTAAATGAATATACAACCAATAAATTAAATAAAAAATAGAAATCGGGGATGGGGAACAGATGATAATTATGGAAAAAAATGGTCAAAACAATAATAAATATATAAAGGATAGAAAATGAATATACAATAAACAATGAAATAAAGAAAGAAGGATGGCGTAGAGTTAATAGTCATGGAAAAAAACATCATTAAAACAAATAATGTGCCAGACATCATATAACACAATGATAAAGTTCTGTGGTAATGGAAGGAAAGTTAAGAATGGAAATAAGTTGAAGGATAAGAAATGAGGTTTATCGTCATTTATTTTTCATTTATGTGAATTCGTCTGGACTTTATATACGGCATCTCTTATCACCGTTATTGTGCTAATTCTATTTAAATAAATTATTTACAGAAGTACTTTCTAAAATAAATTATTTACATAGGTACTTTCTATTATTAGCATTCAAATCGCCATGATCATTATGCGTATTATAATCATTATATTTTTCATAATCATTATCATTTTCATAATCATTATCATTTTCATAATCATTACTATTATTTCCATAATCATTATCATTATCATAATCACTACCGTTATTTTTACAAACATGAATAATATTATCAGTAATCAGTACCCATCAAATCGTACCAAAATCGACAAACAAACAAACAAACCACAAACTACGAAAAAATACACACCTTAGAAGACATTTTATGATCCAGCGTCACATTGACAAAAGGTTCTCTAAAACTCCCGTCTTCTAACTGGTGTTCGAGGATGAATGCAACTGCAGTGTTGATCAGCCTCGGTTCTATATACACTAAGTTCTCCCAGTCTTCTAGTTGCGCCGGAAGTAATACGCTCAGAACCCATGTGGTCATCCTGGAAAAAAGTTTTCGTATTATTTTGTGCTCGGAACCCACGTAAGTTGTCTTGGAAAAAGTTTGGAAATGTTTTATGTTCAGATCCCATGTGTTATCTTAGAAAAGGTTTTGAAATGTTTTATGCTCGGAACCCACGGAAGTTGTCTTGGAAAAAGTTTGGAAATGTTTTATGCTCGGAACCCACTTAAGTTACCCTGGAAAATGTTTGGAAATGTTTTATGCTCGGAGCCCACGTAAGTCATCATGGAAAAGGTTTTGAAATGTCTTATGCTCGGAATCCACGTGTCATTTTGGAAAAGGTTTTTAAATGTTTTATGCTCGGAATCCACGTAAGTTATATTGGAAAAAGTTTCGAAATGTTTTATGATCAGAATGCTTGTAGTCATCCTGGAAAAAAATCGAATTATATTATGCTCGGAACCCACGTTCCGCAGGGCAGTTGAAACGTTATCCTAGAAAAAGTTTTAAAATGTTTTATGCTCGGAACTCACGTACGTTATCTTGGAAAAAAGTTTCGAAATGTTTAATGCTCGGAACCCACCTCAGTTATCCTGGAAAATGTTTCGAAATATATTACGGTCGGAACCCATGCACTTATCCTGGAAAAAGTTTTCCATAGATCTACCTATCTGTCTACTTCCTCCCTCCTTCCCTCTCTCCCTTCCGTCTTCCCTCCCTCCTTTCCTTTCTCCCTGCCCTTCTTTCCTTCCTCCCTCCCTCTCTCCCATCCCTTCCCTCCCTCCCCATCCCACCCAAAAAACCTCACTCACCACACCGAGGGCTCCGAAGCCGTCCACATCCCGAAGGCGCCGTCGCTGTACCTCGCGAACAACCCCGCCAGCTGTGAATTCAGGAACTCGAACGCTTTCTTCGCCTTCGTCATGTCCAGCTGGTTCGTGAGGCGGAGGTAGCGGAGCGTCCAGACCGTCGAGCCGAAGTTGAAGGCGAGGCCGTCGGTGTTCTTCAGGATCCGGCCCTGGAAGGCTGTCTTGAAGCTGAGGGTCATGTCCTTGGACGTGGGGCCAAAGACGTCTCCTGCAGGAGGGGTGTTGGAGGGGATCGGGTTGAAGTAAAACGGTGATTATCAGGTTGTGAGGATATGAAAATCAACATAAAATGCCGGATAATTTTTTATTCTACTTATTTATTTATTTATCTATTTTTTTTTTTTTTTGTTCAGAGGGATGGTAATGTAGGAGAAATGGCCTAAGTAAAACACTGAATGGAGTGTTGGAATAACTGAAATTCAATGTAAGTTGCCTGAATATATTTCGTTTTAATTCATTTTTCCTTTTTCGTTTTGTTTTTATTTTTACTCTTATTAAGAAAGCTGACTTAAAAACGCTATGCAAAGACAACTCACAATAAAATATCTGACTTCCTGTTTTTAATCAATTCTACTTATATATCTATTTTCTATTTTGTTTTAAATTTGATCTATTTATCTTTTATTTTGTTTTAATTCATTATACTTATTTATTTATCTGTCATTTTCTGACTTGTTTTTAATCAATTTTACTTATCTATTTATTCATTTTTTTTTTTTACCTGAAAGTGTCATCCTTGCCTTTGGTGACCCGTAGACATAGCGTCTGAAAATGCTCTTGGAAATCAGAGGACTCTCGTCGACGGGAAGGTCCAGGAATTCGTACACGGTCGCTCTGCTTTTCAGGTCTAGTAGCACGGAGGTGTGTTTCCGGACGGTGGCTCCCTCTGGCTGTAGAAAGGAATATATATATTTAACCGGACACGTATATATACTTACACACATACATATACATACGCACACACACACACACGGAAGGACGCACGCACGCACACACACACACACACACAACACACACACACACACACACACACACACACACACACACACACACACACACACACACACACACACACACACATTTTAATATGGAATTTTTCATGAGATTAAAAAAAAATCCAAAATGAATGATCCTCATTTTGATTAGTATACCGTAGAAATTACGTGTTTTACGCAATAGTAATAATATGCAACTATTAAACCTCGCACTGCTTAATTTCTCACTTCCATGCGTGACCTTAGCAACATCAATCCTATTAAACTCATAAAATATCATAAAATACGTTATAATCACCGATAATAAAAAATAATTCAATGTCCAAATTTTAGAAGATATGATTGTAAAAAGGAACGAAAGAAGAAAGACAAAGTATATATATATATAAAAAAAGAAAAAAGAGAAAGACAGAACATAGCAACAAAAGAATGAAAAAAGAGAAAGACAAAAGGTAGCAACAAAAGAATGAAATTTTGAAAAAAAAGACAGAAAATGAGAGAGAGAGAGAGAGAGAGAGAGAGAGAGAGAGAGAGAGAGAGAGAGAGAGAGAGAGAGAGAGAGAGAGAGAGAGAGAGAGAGAGAGAGAGAGAGAGAGAGAGAGAGAGAGAGAGAGAGAGAGAGAGAGAGAGAGAGAGAGAGAGAGAGAGAGAGAGAGTGAGAGTGAGATAGATAGATAGATAGAACAACGTGGCGACCTACCTGAACATTGACAGTGACAGAGCGAGTGTCACTGCCCACCAACGACAGTGCTTTCACCGTCACCGTCACTTTTCCCGCCTGTTTTAGCACTGCCAGCGGGAACATCACTTGCGTCCAGCCACCTCCTTCCACCTTTAGGGGAATAAAAAATAGAATTGAAAGATATCCAATAGGAAATAGATCAGTAGCAACAGGAGGTGGTGTCATGTCGTCTGTTTTGATGCTTGTTCAATGAAAATATAACCATTAAAACCATTATTTTCCATCCTTTTTGAAAATTGAAGAGACCTAAATGATCGACCATATTCACAAAGCATCCGCAACTTTTGTGACGTCATCAAAATAAACCCCCAGTGCTTTTTCTTTCCAAAAATAGAATCAGACACCATGGCACCTCCTCGCGTTGCTACTGATCTAGCCTTTCCCGATGTATGTACAATCACTGTCAAAACTCTTTGTAAAACATGTTTCGAATCCTGTTTCGAACATGCGGTTAAATACCATATTTATTGTATAGGGTGAGACAGATCCGAAGCTTCGATTCATTAAAAGACTCTTGATTGACCGGGACTGTACGTCGGTGTTTATATGTATGGCGAATGTGGCAATAAGTGAGCTGGTTCTTTTGGTATAATATGACTTGTGGGTATCTTTCATTCTGGCTTTTTTTCTCTCTCTCTGTCGATTTATTCTCTCTCTCTCTCTTTCTGTGTCGTTTTTTTTCTCTCTCTCTCTCTGTCGCTTTCTCTCTCTCTCTCGCTCTCTCTCTCTCGCTCTTTCTTTCTTTATCTGTTCATATTTGTATTTATCCAGTAACCTATCTACCTATATTTACCCATTTCTACATCCACCTATGTATAACATCCACTCCCACCCACCCTTTTCCCCCTTCCTCCCCTCCCCAGTTCTTTTACTAACACAACAACACCCATACCCACATACAAGCACACACCACACCCACAAATACATCCACATCCACACAAACACACCACCCACACACCCACAAATACATCCACACAAACACACACATCCACACCCACACACCCACAAATACATCCACATCACACACACAAACACGTACACCCACAAACAAACATAACACCCACAAACACAAATACATCCACATCCACAAATGCACCCACATCCACACCCACACCTACACCCACACACGTGAATTCCCTACCCGAACGAGGTGCTGGTGGTCCCCCTTCGACAACCTCGGCCTGAAGTGACTGACACGACCTCCCTCCTCCACGTGGATGAAGCGGTGGTGGTCACTTCCCTCGAGGACGACCAGGACGGACATCCTCCTCGGCAGAGCGTTGTGGAGGTGGACCTTGACGGAGATCTGGAGTTTGGAGGGGGAGGGGGAGGAGAATGGGATTAGTTCGAGGGATGTGGTTGGGTTGTTGGAAGGATTAAAGTGGATTTGTTGGAGGGATTAATGTGGATTTGTTGGAGGGATTAATGTGGATTTGTAGGAAATGCGGATTTGTATCACTGTAGTTCGGTTGTTGGAGGGAGTAATGTGGATTTGTTGGAGTGATTTTCCTTAAAAGGTGAGACAGAATTAGACAAGTAAGGTGATAAGTTGTGATTCTTAAAAATTAATTTATCTCTTATAGAAAATGAGAAGTAACTTCCATTTTCAAAGGGGTAACTATTGCATTCCCGTAAGCTATACATCCTTCCACCACCGCAACCAAGTCCCCTCCCCCCTCCCACCACCCCCCCACCCCCTCCCTCCCCTCTCCACCCCCCCACCCTCCACGCCCCACCCCCTTCCTTCCACGCACCTGCTCCCCCGCCTGCAAACGGTCGTCGCCTCCAACTTCATAAACAGAGGCGGGGTGCTGTCGTAGGGTCTCGGAGGCAGGAAGGAAAAGCCCAGGTGGGGGTGGACGACGAAGGCCTCGAAGAACCACTCGCTGGGGGCGTTGGGGACGGCGAGCTCTGCCTTTTGGAATGCCTTGTGGCCTGTGGGGGGGGAGGAGGGGGGGGAGGGGGGTGGTGGGGTGGTGGTGGAGGAGGGGGAGGGGGAGGAGGAGGAGGAGGAGGAGGAGGAGGAGGAGGAGGAGCGGGAGGAGGGGGGAGGGGAAAGAGTTGGAGGGGAGGGGAAGGGGAGGGGGAGGAGGAGGAGGAGGGGGGGGGAGGGGGAGGGGAGGGGGAGAAGGAGGAGGAGAAGGAGAGGGAGGAGGAGGAGGGGGGGGAGTAGAGGTGGTGGTGGTGGGAGGAAGAGGAGGTGGTGGTGGTGAGGAAGAGGAGGTGGTGGTGGAAGAGGAGGTGGTGGTGGTGGAGGAGGTATTGGAGGAGGAAGAGGAGGTGGTGGTGGAGGAGGAAGAGGAGGGAGGTAGGATGAAGAGAGAAAGGAGAGGGAAGGAGAGACGGAGGATTGAGGGAGGAAGAAGAGGAAAGAAGGAGAGGAGGGTGAGGGGTAGGGGAAAAGAAGGGGAAAGAAGGAGGAAGAAAAGGAAGATGAAGATGAAAAGGAAAGGAGGAGGAAAAGGAGGAGGAAGGAGGAGGAGGGGAGGGGGAGGTGGTGGTGGAAGAGGAAGAATGAGAAGAGGACAAGGACAACGACGACGATGAGGAGTGGGAAAAAGAGGAAGAGGAGGGGAGTGCTGTTGTTAATGGAGTTTCGAATGATAGTAACACTCATTCGAAACGTTATAGTTATAGTTATCATAAGTTTATATTTTGTCATTATTATCATTATCATCAATATTATTACTAGTACCACTAACATTATTATTACTACTACTATTACTACTAATAATAATAATGCTCCTACTTTTACCATTTCACTACCACTACTACAAATACTATTACCATTATTTTTATCATTGTTATTGTCAATATCATTATCATGATTACTTCTATTACTGCAACTATTATCGTTTTCATCCTTACTACAAGTACAACTATTATTATCATTATTTTCAGTACTACTACTGCTATTATAATCATCATTATAATTAGGATTATTATCATTATCATCATCATTGTTATAATTACTAGTGTAGTATCATTTCACTATCTTATTCTTATCATTATCATTATTTTTGTTTTCACCATTACCATTCCCATTATTGCCATCATTATTCTTATCATTTTCATTATCAGCATCATAATTGTTATTCCCTGTTCTATACTCACCGAAGTTTTGTTGGAAATAACACCAGTCACCGTTCTTCATGTCAAACAAGGTTCTCCAATAACTTCTGTGTTTCATACGATAAATTTCCTCCTGTCTATCTGATAAGGTTGTTAAGAAGTTATAAGTTTGACGATAAAAGATAGAGACAGAAAAAAAGTATATATTATATCAGGTTAGTTTTGTGAATGATATTACTGATTTATGTGACTGAACTTTTGAATTTTTATTTTATGTCTCAAGTCTTATGATTAATGTATAGAAAAAATATACATTGGTAAGTACATGGCACTTGTTAACTTGCTGGCTTTCTTGCAATAATGTCTAGCAGACATTTTGCATATTATTTAGTACTGAGATACAGAGACAGAGAAAGAGAGGATAATATAAACCAAGTTATCTCTAACACTACTTCGGAAAATGAAAATGCCAGTCTAGGGTTTCGTACCTGAAGAAGAATCCTCCTGCAGTTCATTCTCGATCCTTAAACCTTTGAAGTAGAAAACAACATACTTTAGTTTGGGTCGAAACACCATCGATCTTATCAAGCATATATATATCATCTATGGAAGTTATAGATACTTATCTCTGTATTCATTGTCTGAACAGAAAAAAACACAAACACACACACATGCACACACACACACACACACACACGCACACACACACACACACACACACACACACAGAGAGAGAGAGAGAGAGAGAGAGAGAGAGAGAGAGAGAGAGAGAGAGAGAGAGAGAGAGAGAGAGAGAGAGAGAGAGAGAGAGAGAGGGGGGGGGAGGGATACTCACAGTTGGCTTCATCTGCCCCGTCCTGGCACCTCTCCCGTCACCACTTCCAGCGGTAACAACTCCGTCGCCGCACTCCAGATAACCCAGCTGACTGTCGCAATGGCCTGAGGGGAAGAGAGGAACTATGTGTTTTGATATCGAAGGTGTTTCTATATATGTGGATTTGTTTTCTTCTTTTTAAGTAGATGTAAGGGAAGATATACAAATATAGAGGAAAAAACAGCAATAGTGGAAACTATATCTGTCTATCTTTCACCATCCCCCGCAACTAATAGACATTCTCTTTTATTATCTTTCCTAGCTATCCATCTCTTATCTATTTATCTTCTAATATGCCTTTCATTTCATCATCCTCCCCAGTTATTTATCTCTCTCTGTCTATCTTCTGACAGACATTTCCTTTCATTATCCTGCCCAGCTACCTATCTCTATCTTTCTATCATTTAATAGATCGTCCCTTTCACTATCCACCCTAGCTTTTTATCTCTCTTATCTATCTGATAGAAACCTTCCCTTTCATCACCCCTGTTATCTATCTCTCTTTCTATCAGCTAATAGACCTTTTATTTCACCATTCTCCCCAGATATCTATCTCCATCTCTCTTTTAATAGACCTTACATTTCACCACCCTTCCTAGCTATCTATCTCTATCAATCTATCTTCATCCTTCTCAGCTAATCTATCTGTTATCTATCTGTCTTCTATAGACCTCCCTTTTCACCAATATCCACAGCTATCCATCTCTTTATCTTCCTCTCTTCTTATAGACCTCTTCTATCGCCACCCTTCCTATTTATCTATCCTTCCATCATCTACTGACCTTCACCTCTCACCATCCTTCCTAGCTATCCATCTCTCCTCTTCCTATCTTCATCATCCTTCCCAGCTATCCATCTCTCCTCTTCCTATCTTCATCATCCTTCCCAGCTATCCATCTCTCCTCCTCCTATCTTCACTATCCTTCCCTATTAATCCATCTCTCCTCTTCCTATCTTCATCATCCTTCCCTATTAATCCATCTCTCCTCTCACTATCTTCATCATCCTTCCCTATTAATCCATCTCTCCTCTCACTATCTTCATCATCCTTCCCTATTAATCCATCTCTCCTCTCACTATCTTTCATCATCCTTCCCTATTAATCCATCTCTCCTCTCACTATCTTCATTATCCTTCCAGATCTCTCCTCTTCTATTTTCATTATCCTTCCATTATCCATCTCTCTCTCCTATCTTCATTATCCTTCCCTATTAATCCATCTCTCCTCTTCCTATCTTCATCATCCTTCCCACCTATCCATCTCTCCTCTCGCTATCTTCATTATCCTTCCCTATTAATCCATCTCTCCTCTTCCTATCTTCATCATCCTTCCCTATTAATCCATCTCTCTCTCACTATCTCATTATCCTTCCCTATTAATCCATCTCTCCTCTTCCTATCTTCTATCCTCCTCTATCCATCTCCCTCTCGCTATCTTCATTTCCTTCTATTATCTCTCTCTCCTTCCTATCTTCATTATCCTTCCCTATCAATCCATCTCTCTTCTCACTATCTTCATCATCCTTCCCTATTAATCCATCTCTCCTCTTCCTATCTTCATTATCCTTCCCTATTAATCCATCTCTCCTCTCACTATCTTCATCATCCTTCCCTATTAATCCATCTCTCCTCTTCCTATCTTCATCATCCTTCCCTAGTAATCCATCTCTCCTCTTCCTATCTTCACCATCCTTCCCTATTAATCCATCTCTCCTCTCATATCCTTCATCATCCTTCCCTATTAATCCATCTCTCCTCTTTCCTATCTTCATTATCCTTCCTATTAATCCATCTCTCCTCTTCCTATCTTCATTATCCTTCCCTATAATCCATCTCTCTCTCACTATCTTCATCATCCTTCCCTATTAATCCATCTCTCCTCTCACTATCTTCATCATCCTTCCCTATTAATCCATCTCTCCTCTTCCTATCTTCATTATCCTTCCCTATTAATCCATCTCTCCTCTCACTATCTCATATCCTTCCCTATCATCCACCTCCTCTTCCCTTCATCATCCTTCCCTATCCATCTCTCTCTTCTATCTTACATTAATCCTTCCCTATTAATCCATTCTCTCCTCTTACTATCTTCATCTTATCCTTCCCTATCAATCCATCTCTCTCTCACTATCTTCATCATCTTCCCTATTAACCATCTCTCCTCTTCCTTCTTCATTATCCTTCTCTATTAATCCATCCTCCTCTCACTCTCTTCATCATCCTTCCTATCAATCCATCTCTCTCTCACTATCTTTCATCATCCTTCCCTATTAACCATCTCTCCTCTTCCTATCTTCATTATCTTCCCTATTAACCATCTCTCCTCTCACTATCTTCATATCCTTCCCTATTAATCCACTCTCCTCTCACTATCTTCATCATCCTTCTATTAATCCATCTCTCCTCTCACTATCTTCATATCCTTCCTATATCCATCTCTCACTCTTCCTATCTTCATTATCCTTCGCTATTAATCCATCTCTCCCTCTCACTATATCTCATCATCCTTCCCTATTAATCCATCTCCTCTTCCTATCTTCATATCCTTTCCCTAATCTCTCCTCTCTCTTCTCCTTCCCTATTATCCTCTCCCTCTATCTTCATCCTTCCTATTCCATCTCTCCTCTCACTATCTCATATCCTTCCTATTTATCCATCTCTCTCTTCCTATCTCATCATCCTTCCTATCCATCCCTCTCTATCCTTCATTATCCTTCCCTATCCATCTCTCCTCTTCGCTATCTTCATTATCCTTCCCTATCATCATCTCTCTCTCACTATCTTCATCATCCTTCCCTATTAATCCATCTCTCCTCTTCCTATCTTCATTATCCTTCCCTATTAATCCATCTCTCCTCTCACTATCTTCATCATCCTTCCCTATTAATCCATCTCTCCTCTCACTATCTTCATCATCCTTCCCTATTAATCCATCTCTCCTCTTCCTATCTTCATCCTTCCCTATTAATCATCTCTCCTCTTCCTATCTTCATTCATCCTTCCCTATTAATCCATCTCTCCTCTCACTATCTTCATCATCCTTCCCTATTAATCCATCTCTCCTCTCCTATCTTCATCATCCTTCCCATCTCTCCTCTTCCTATCTTCATTATCCTTCCCTATTAATCCATCTCTCCTCTCACTATCTTCATCATCCTTCCCTATTAATCCACCTCTCCTCTTCCTATCTTCATCATCCTTCCCACCTATCCATCTCTCCTCTTCCTATCTACATTATCCTTCCCTATTAATCCATCTCTCCTCTTACTATCTTCATCATCCTTCCATCATCTCTCCTCTTCCTATCTGCATCATCCTTCCTATCCATCTCTCCTCTTCCTATCTTCATTATCCTTCCTATTAATCCATCTCTCCTCTTCCTATCTATCATCCTTCCTATTAATCCATCTCTCTCTTCTATCTTTCATCCTTCTATCCATCTCTCCTCTTCCTATCTTCATCATCCTTCTCCCTCTCCTCTTCTATCTTCATCATCCTTCCCTATTAATCCATCTCTCCTCTTCCTATCTTCATCATCCTTCCACCTATATCTCTCCTCTTCCTATCTACATTATCCTTCCCTATTAATCCATCTCTCCTCTTACTATCTTCATCATCCTTCCCTATTAATCCATCTCTCCTCTTCCTATCTTCATTATCCTTCCCTATTAATCCATCTCTCCTCTTCCTATCTTCATTATCCTTCCCTATTAATCCATCTCTCCTCTTCCTATCTTCATCATCCTTCCCACCTATCCATCTCTCCTCTTCCTATCTTCATTATCCCTATTAATCCATCTCTCTCTTCCTATCTTCATTATCCTTCCTATTAATCCATCTCTCCTCTTCCCTCTTACATTATCCTTCCCTATTAATCCATCTCTCCTCTTCCTATCTTCATCATCCTTCCCTATTAATCCATCTCTCCTCTTCCTATCTTCATTATCCTTCCCTATTATCATCTCTCTCTTCCTATCTTCATCATCCTCCTATCCTCTCTCCTCTTCCTATCTTCATCATCCTTCCCTATTAATCCATCTCTCCTCTCTTATCTTCATTATCCTTCCCTATTAATCCATTCTCCTCTCCTATCTTCATTATCCTTCCACCTAATCCATCTCTCCTCTTCCCTACATTATCCTTCCTCCATCTCTCCTCTTCCTATCTTCATTACCTTCCAATTCCATCTCTCCTCTTCCTATCTTCATCATCCTTCCCTATTAATCCATCTCTCCTCTTCCTATCTACATTATCCTTCCTATTAATCCATCTCTCCTCTTCCTATCTCCATTATCCTTTTATCCATCTCTCCTCTTCCTATTTCATCATCCTCCCTATTTAATCCATCTCTCCTTCCTATCTTCATCATCCTTCCCTATTAATCCATCTCTCCTCTTCCTATCTACATTATCCTTCCCTATTAATCCATCTCTCCTCTCACTATCTTCATTATCCTTCCCAGCTATCCATCTCTCCTCTTCCTATCTACATTACCCTTCCCAGCTATCCATCTCTCCTCTCACTATCGTCATCATCCTTCCCTATTAATCCATCTCTCCTCTTCCTGCATTATCCTTCCCATTATCCTTCCTCCCTATCTTCATCATCCTTCCCACTTCATCTCCCTCTTCCTATCTTCATTATCCTTCCACCTATCCATCTCTCCTCTTACTATCTTCATCATCCTTCCTATTAAATCCATCTCTCCTTCACTATCTTCATCATCCTTCCTATTAATCCATCTCCTTCCATCCACCTCCTACAGACACGTACCTGTGCCCGAGGGAGAGTCCAGTGCAGCGTCCATGGCCAGAGAGAGTCCGGAAAAGTGAAGAGAAGATAACTTGGACGTCGCTGTGTTCTCCGCCGAGAGGGTCTCTAGACGCTCCGCCCACAAGCCGTCGCGGGACCGGAAGTGGGCGTGGTGTATTGACCTGGAATGGATTGGGGGGGAAGGGGTGGGGGTGGGAAAGGGTGAGGGAGAGGGAGAGAGAGAGGGAGGGAGGGTGATATTGAGAGAGGGAGAGGGAGAGAGGGAGGGAGGAGGGAGAGAGGGAGAGAGGGAGAGAGTGAGAGAGTGAGAGAGTGAGAGGAGAGAGAGAGAGAGAGAGAGAGAGAGAGAGAGAGGAGAGAGAGAGAGAGAGAGAGAGAGAGAGAGAGAGAGAGAGAGAGAGAGAGAGGAGAGAGAGAGAGAGGAGAGAGAGAGAGGGAGAGAGAGAGAGAGAGAGAAGAGAGAGAGAGAGAGAGAGAGAGAGAGAGAGAGAGAGAGAGAGAGAGAGAGAGAGAGAGAGAGAGAGAGAGAGAGAGAGAGAGAGAGAGAGAGAGAGTGAGAGTGAGAGTGAGCAGTGAGAGTGAGAGGAGAGAGAGAGAGAGAGGAGAGAGAGAGAGAGAGAGAGAGAGAGAGAGAGAGAGAGAGAGAGAGAGAGAGAGAGAGAGAGAGAGAGAGAGAGAGAGAGATGGAATTAATGAAGTAAAAACCGCGTTTTCCACTCTCTCTCTCTCTCTCTCTCTCTCTCTTCTCTTATTCTTACGACCACAATGAACTAATTTGGTCTTACCCATAACCATGTACTGTATTTACACTTTCTTCCTTTTTTATTTACTTATATTTTGTTATTATTATTTTTTCAATCATTGCAAAGATGCGCTTAGTAGGATGGTAATGATAACTGACATTAAAAATGATAAAAAAATAATAATGACGCTAATATAAAAAATAAAATAGGTAAATGAACATTTGAATATAAAGAACAAAGATAAATAATAAAAAAAGAAAAAAAAAAAAAAAAAAAATGATAACAGAAAAAAATATATATCCATCACCCACCCTACACATCCACCCACACACACACACATTCATCCAACCAACCACCCATCAACCCACACTCACCCACCCCCATCCAACTAACCACCCACACATACCCACACCCCACCACACCATCATCCACCACCCCACCTCACCCACACCACTCCCATCCAACTAACAACCCCACATCAACCCGCACCCACACCCACCTCCTTACCTCGGGTGCGGCTCCATCGCGAGGGCGGTCCGCAGAAACCGGGACAAAGTGACTCTGTTTGTTCTGCCGCAAAAACGCGCTTTCCCGCCGAAGACAGACGCGAACAAAATGGCGCGGGCGGAGCTGTCATGGCGGCCTCGACTGTCCTCTTGGAGTGGTCTTTGTGCTGGTTGAGGGTCAGTGTGGCCTGTGAGGTGGAAGAGAGAGGGTGTCTTTTTATTAGTTGTGTGTGGTTCATCTAGGAGACTTTGCCTAACCTAAATCTATCTAGTTCACCTATAAGATTGGCCTAATCCTGATTTATCCAGTCCTTCTACATGACCTATCTGATCTATCCAATTCGTTTAGAACAAGAGCCTAATCCTAATCTATCCCATTCATCTAGAAGACTTAAGCCTCGGTCACTGCCGGCCGTACTTCCACTCTACGGTGATTCTACGGAGAGAGAGAGAGAGAGAGAGAGGAGAGAGAGAGAGGAGAGGAGAGAGAGAGAGAGAGAGAGAGAGAGAGAGAGAGAGAGAGAGAGAGAGAGAGAGAGAGAGAGAAGAGAGGGGGAAAGTCCAAGACATGACGCACGCAGATTTTTCTTGCGAAATTTTGAGCCCGCAGACCGCCCGTAAGCACGTACGATGGCTCTTGCTCTTGCATAAAAACCTCTACGGCTTCCAGAGAAGAGCCAAAGACGCACGTCGCCCTTGCTCCCGACGCGAAGAACACGTGCTTTTTTTTCTTTTTTTTTCGTGGATATAAAAGCGGTTGTCCAAGACGCACGTCGCCGCAAGGAGGACGGAAATCGACTCAAGAAAGGAAGCACATGTCTCTCCCTCACTCATGAAAGGATTTTACATGCTTCTCCCTCCCTAATATAAGATTCGCACATGCCTCACTTATGAAAGCAATACCTACCTCTTCTATTCACATACTCATTATTTTTTTTCTGATTATAATGGACATTCTGCCTTTAACTGCGTACATTCAACGCCAAAAATCGACAAAGGACGTACGGCGACAGTACGGCAATTGCGTCCAAACGAGCGTTGAAACTGCGAGGGATGTAAAGGCAACGGACGTTCGCCGTGCAGTCCTTTCTACTCGTGTCGTAAGTGTGTCTGTCGTGCAGCTATCGCAAGACTGCCGTGCTTCCTCCTTACTACCTCTACGAGCCACGCACGCGTCCAATCGCAAGTGTTGCTGCGAGCTTCTTACGTCACCCTCAAGGGCAGCACGGCACGATTCCGTACTTCTTCCTCCCGCTTTACGAATTGACTGCTACTTTTTTTCTCTTTTTTTTTGTTTTACCTCCACGTCCTATCTATCTGGTTCACTTACGGCTTCACCTAATGCAAATCTATCTAGTTCACCTATCAGAGACGTGCCTAATCCTAATCTATCAAGTCCTTCTACATGACCCAATCCCAATCTATCCCGTAAATCTAGTAGACGCCTTAGCATAATCTCTCCAGTCCAAATTTGCCTAATCCCAATCCCTCTAACACACCTGCCAGACTTACCCAATCCTAGCCACACTTTGTTTTCTTTCAGCTTTCTTATATCCATTGTTGGATATAGGCTTTCCCCAATCTGCGCCACCTCGTTGAGGCATTTTTTTTTTATCACAGGGAGGAAAGGGCCGTTGGCTACCACGCTGTATATAAACATATATATACATGCATGCATATGTATATATATATATATATATATATATATATATATATATATATATATATATATATATAAGACTCGCCTAATCCTTACCGACTAACACAATAACAAGCCAGACACCCCAATCCTCACCTCCACGGCTTGGAAACCGACGGCGATGTGGACCGAATCCGTCAGCAGCTCGCCATCCTGAGCCACGTGAATCACCACCACAGTGAGTCTGGGCCACGTCTCCCTCGACACGGTGAGGCTCAGAGTCCAGACGACGTCACTTCCGGCGGCAGTGACCTCCTCCGTCGCCGAGTAGATCAGGACGCCTTTTGACATGACCTGCGGGGGGGGGGGTGCGGGGGCGAGGTTGTTAAAGAGTTGTTGGTGTTATTTTTTGTTGCTTCTGTATATTTATGGTGTTGTGGTGATTTGGTTGTTAGTGTCTTGATTGTAATCATTATCATTATAATTCTTATTACAATTATCATAATCATTATTATCATTACCATCATCCCCATCATCGCCATTATCATTATTTTCATCATTATCATTGCTGTTGTTGTAACTGTTACTATTGTTGTTGCTATCCTTATCATAATCATAGTCATTAATGAATGGTAAAAAATAACCATTGTTATTGTTATCATTCCTCATTCTCATCACCACCACCATAGACATCATCGTCATCATCACCACCACCACCATAGTCAACTCAAAACCCAACCCACCAAATACTGGAACTTCTCCATCCTGAAATTCGCCCTGACATGACAGATCGCAAACTCCCCGACGTGAGCCGCGGTCGTACTCGAAGTGACGTGAATGTACCGGCCCGAGCGAGAGTGAGGTCGTACCGCTTGGGCTGTCGTCGAAGCGGTACCTTTGTCGTCCTTGTAAACAGCTGATAGGCGCAGGTTGGTCGCTTCTTTGGGGACGCTGAAGGTGAAGCTGCAATGGGGGTTTGTGGGTAAATTTTATTGTTTTTTTTTAAATTGTGTTTATGGATGGGTGAGTTGAGGAAGGGAGGGAGGGAGGATGAGTGGGAGGAAGGGAGGGGAGGGGAGGATGAGTGGAAGGAAGGGAGGGAAAGAGGGAGGGAGGGAGGGAAGGAGAGGAGGGGAGGGGGGAGGAAGGAAGGGAGGGGAAGGAGGGAGGAATGGAGGAATGGAGGAAGGGAGGAAGGGAAGGAAGGGAGGAAGGAAGGAAGGAAGGAAGGAAGGAAGGGAGGGAGGACGGAAAGAAAGAAGGATGGACGGAAGGAAGGCAAGAAAGAAGGAGGGAAGGAATGTATGAATGAAGGAAAAATTGAAAGAATGGACGAAAAACTAAATGAATTAATATATGAAGGAAGGAAAATTAAAGAAGGAAAGAAGGAAGTAAAAGTGAATGAATGAATGAATGAAGAAACGAAAAATAATACATCATATCCTTATATATATATATATATATATTATATATATAATATATATATATATATATATATATATATATATATATATATATATAAACGGCGGAATTAAGAAATAAATTAAATAATGAATGAAAAAACGAAGAAATGAACGAATACACATCCGTCATTTCACTCACCGTAGCATTCCACTTTTCCGAAACTCTGCGCTGGAGGCTACGCGCAGGAAGTCGTCCAGCTGTGGCAAGCGCACGCGTTCGGATGCGCTGTCATCGGCGTATCTTCGGAGGAGGTGGGCGGGGCTTGAGGCAGTGCTGTCCTTTGGGCTGACTACGATCTGTGGGTGTGTATATTTTTATGTATATAGAGTGTGTATGTGTGTGTGTGTGCGTATGTAGGTATGTATGTGCGCACATACACATATACCGGCTGCCATGTAAATGGAAGCTGGTAATTTCTCTGTACTCATTTTAATCTTAAGGTTAAGCAAGCCCTCTGATGAGAATAAACTAGAGAGAGAGAGAGAGAGAGAGAGAGAGAGAGAGAGAGAGAGAGAGAGAGAGAGAGAGAGAGAGAGATGAGAGAGAGAGAGAAGAGAGAGAGGAGAGAGAGAGACAGATAGATAGATAGATAGAGAGAGAGAGAGAGAGAGAGATAGACAGATAGATAGATAGATAAGATAGAGAGAGAGAGAGAGAGAGAGAGAGAGAGAGAGAGAGAGAGAGAGAGAGAGAGAGAGAGAGAGAGAGAGAGAGAGAGAGAGAGAGAGAGAGCAAATAGAACACAGACAGAAAAAAAGATTGAAAAATCGAACCAAAAAAAACGGAAACAGAAAAATAAAAAAGAGAGAAAAAATAAGACAAAAAAACAACAACAACAACAAAACACTTACCTCCGGCAGATCTTTCCTGGCTCCATTCGCAAGGGTGGCTGATGCTCTTACAACAAGATGAGATCCCTGCAGCCTCTCTCCCTCTAATGGAGCTGAGTCCTCGTACTTGACCGTTACCTGAAGAACACTGATCAGCAATGAAAAAGACAAGAGAAGAGAAGAGAAGAGAGAGAAGAGAGAGAAGAGAAGAGAAGAGAAGAGAAGAGAAGAGAAGAGAAGAGAAGAGAAGAGAGAGAAGAAGAGAAGAGAAGAAGAGAAGAGAGAGAAGAGAAGAGAAGAGAAGAGAAGAGAAAATAAACGTGGTTAAAGATGAAAATATAGGTAACTGTGATAAAGAGATGTATCAATAATTGGGATCGTTGGTAAGGAAAATATAGGTAATTGTGAGGACACTGATCAGCAATGAAAAAAAGACTAAAAGAAACATGATTAAATACGAAATAAGGGGTATTTTTGATAAAAAGACTTATCTCAAATAATTGTGATCGTTGGTAAGGAAAATATAGGTAATTGTGATAAAAAGACTTATCATATAGAATTGTGATCGTTAGTAAAAGATGTAAGTATAAAAGAACAGAAAAGAAAGACAATAACGGAATTAAAGGGGGTAAATATAGAGAAATCACAAGGGACTTACCACACCCGACATAAGCATCCCGGGCTTAAACACGAGCGGGTCAGGACCAACAAATTCCACCCTTACGTCATCACTTACAAAACGTGTCCTGAAAAAAAAAAAAAAAAAAAATGGATGAAGATTAAACATGAGATAAAACAAAAAGTCGCAAGGAATAAAACAACTATAATAATGCTTGAAAAAAACAAGAAACAAAACAAAACAAAAAGTCGCAAGGAATAAAACAACTATAATAATGCTTGAAAAAAACAAGAAACAAAACAAAACAAAAAATCGCAAGGAATAAAACAAATATAATAATGCTTGAAAAAACAAGAAACAAAACAAAACAAAAAATCGCAAGGAATATAACAACTATAATAATGCTTGAAAAAAACAAGAAACAAACAAAACAAAAACTCGCAAGGAATATAACAACCATAACAATGCTTGCACACGGGTCGACAGTAAGAGTACCTAGGCCTACAATGTGTTCCTTCGAAGCTCGTATATTTTCAATGATGAGTTCTTGATAAGGCAATTTATACTAGATTATAGGGGGGACTGCAATACGTCACTTGGTTAACACTAAGAAGCTTATTTCAGCAACTCTCATCACTCTAAGGTGACTGAACCTGCATATTTTGAGGTGTTTTCTTTGTGAAATAGAATTCCTGATGAGCATTTACTTAATAAAAATGTTGGTTTAGTTTACTTTTGGGAATCTGCGAATCGAATCTATTTATCTAATCGTCATGACTGTATCGCTCTTAATTTTCTTACAAGTACTATTAATGTCAATCAAATCTGAAAATGTGCAATCTAAATGTGGTACATTTATTAACAAAATTTGAATACAAAATAGACATGGCAAATTCTGAATTCAGACTACTAACTGTCAATCAGCTTAAACATGAATATTTATGAGGAAATTAAGATAGGTTATGGTTTGGCTAGTTTGAATTAAGTTAGGACTAGTTTAAGCTAGGTTAGGTTATGGGTTGGCTATTTCAAATTTAGTTGACTAGGTTAAGTTAGGTTAGGTTATGGTTTGGCTATTTCAAATTAAGTTAAGACTAGGTTAAGTTATGGTTTGGCTACTTTAAATTAAGTTAGGCCTAGGTTAAGTTAGGTTAGGTTTAGTTGTTTTTCCGGTTAGATTAGCAATACATAAAAAAGCAGGTTAGAACCCTTATAAACTCACAGTGAACCTCACCTGGCATGTCCAGTCATAGTCGATCCTTCAAAAATATTGTGTACATTCACCTGCACCATAACTTCCACCTGACGAAGATCTGTTGTAGTTTCGTCCATCAAGAGGTCCGTCGAGAAGCTAAAATTATGCCAACCGTTTACCTAGAGGAAAAAGTACTTGATATAATCACCAGATATCAGGAAGTGGAAATTCCTATCTGTTGTTAATAGGGTCTCTTGCTGTGTGGGTATGGAACACCTCGTTGATATAAGTAAAAGAGTGGACTTTTTGTTTCACTTCCTGAAGTTATAACAACGTCAAATAAATTGATACATATGATAATTAAAGTAGCCCTTTCTAGCATCCATGGCGAGACCTCACCACGTTTTCACTTCTGTTAATTTGTGCGATATGTTGTGAATAGTGTTTCATCAGTGGCTAGTCTTTGGCAGTGGTCTAAAATGTACAACAGTAACACCTGTAAAAACAAAAACGAGAATAGAATCTATTGATATTTACAGTAAACTGGCAAGTGAGCGGGGCTTAGCTCAACAGTTGCCAACGAGGATTTTCAAGACAGTGGTGATATCTAAGTACCTTAGTTATTACTAAACTTCCCACAACAATGTTGTGTTTGGACTGCAGCAGTAGCAATAGTCTGCAAACAGTTTTCTCTCTTCTGTTTTTGATTATTAATAGATAAAATAATTCAAGCTAAACACATACTCTGACCTGAAAGGTCTTTTAAAGTCATATCTCCAGAAGCTTCCATCAGTGACCAGAGTGAATGTCCTTTGTGATGACTTCAGTAAAGTGACATAAACCTACAATGTGAACTTTTCTGGTGACATGAGAGAATAAATGTTAACCAGTTAACAATATGATTTCTGTGATTTTATCGAGTGGATTGACAGACCGTGAGGATAACATTAATTATAATGTACACATCTTTTCCAGTGGAAGTTGAAGGCAACATAATTACCATGTCCACCTTCTTTCTGGTGACCTTAATGTTATAACGCCCTGCATTACATAATACATCATTCGAACTCACAGACCGTGCCACGTGACTCCAAGAGGGTGATTCTAACCAAGGTCTATATAGGTACTTATATAGACCTTGATTTTAACTATACACCCCAAGCCACGCTCCCATCACTTGGTCAGATACAAGGCAGCCCAGCTTGACCTCTCACTCAGACTCAGACACACTCTTCCGTACGATCAGAGAGTGATCCAGCCTCTACGCTTACCCGCAGCCGCCTTCGCCAGGGATGGTTAACCGCGGACACCACATCCAGCACTGACCTGTCTCGTTCGTATCGTGTTCTATTCTACTTGTGTGTACATTTTTAATCATAAAGAGTTAAGCCGTTATCAAGTATGTTACTCTGCCCACCAGTATCAATATAGGTCAATACCTTTTTTGACTGCCTTAAGTATTGGACAGCAAAAGTGTGAACAGGGTCAAGCATCACATGCCTGAAACCAAAATGTCAGGCAATGACAACATTTACTTGCAACATGAACGTCCTTTCTGGTACCTTCAGCAAAAGAAGTATCAAACAGTACAACCAATGTTACTTACAATGTGCACATCCTTTTTAGTGACTTTAATAAACGAAGAATCGGGTAGTGATACTGGACTCTTCTTGTACAGCGTGGCACTGGCATTCCCTGACACTGGCATGTAAGTCTTGAACAGTGCCAGGAACCTGCCTCTGACTGCCTTTTCACTCACGGAGGTGTAGAAAGGCATCTCGACATTTACCTATGGAAAATGAAAATACATTTGGAAATCAAGTCATAGTGATAATGGTAATGACGACCATAATGGTGATGCATTAAAATCATTACATACTAAATTAGTAATTGTATTTCAGATTAAAAGGATTAAAGAGTACAAACAAACATATTACTGCATGAAAATTCTTAATATATAATATATATATATATATATATATATATATATTATATATATATATATATATATATATAAATACTGATATAGCTAACACACATCATCATAGACAGGATCAACAATACATCACATTTCCTAAGTAATCCAAAAAATTACCACGTACCTCAAATGCTTTGGGGAAAAATTTTGTGACAAGAAATGGCTGTTCGTCGACTTGCCTTCCCACAACAACTTTGATGCGCCACCACCCTTTCTTGGGCACGGCGGGGGTGGAAAAGCTCAGCTGCACCACACCTGTAAAGTTAAGGGGGATTGAGTGCCGTATTCAGAAACGTGGGGTGTGGGGTACCCGACAGGTGTTAGTGCACGAGAGCAATTGGGCAAATGATGACAGTCTACTTACGTGGGTCCGTGTGTGATACATGTAATTATAGTATGTAATTATTATATATAATATTTGTTTAATTGCATACTCAGATAGGTTTTGCAACTGTGGGATGAAACTGGGTGTGTGCTATAATTCATAAAATTGGCATTTTGAGAAGACAAACCTTTTTAAAAGAAACAAACTAAAACATGAACCTCGTAAAGCAATTCAAATATATAGGTAATTCATGGTAAGATGTATATTTTAACAAATTTTAGGAAAAAATGCACAGAAATTATAAATATCTCATTACATACATTTCCAGTTGACATAATTTATAAAGTATATTTCTCTCCACCTTCACGTTCAGCATCCAGTCTTGCCATTGTGTGAGCGGCCAATTTCGACTCACGAATCTGAATCACGAACCAATTCGACTAAGTGACAAGTGATTCGGATCCAAGTGTCGAAATTGGCGGTCGACTCATTGGCAACGCTGATTGAAAGTGTAACCAGGGAATAAGGATAAAACCAGCCATTAAAGTGTTTCAGAATACTTTATTTTTGTTACCGTCTTAAAGCCTTATTGTATATGATTTTAGTGGTACATTTCTTATTACTTAACTGTAATTTCAAATATGTATCGGTAGCTAATCTGTAACCAGCATTGTATTCCATGGAATATTTACAAATCACGAATAAGATTTTTTTTTATTCATTATTATTTTTATTTATTCATTATTTTTTTCTTTTTGCAAATCATCCCCATTAGCTTATCAGTTATCAAATAACTATCACCAACACATCACCGACTTACCATGTGCTTGTTTGTCTCGATTTATGAAAGTGAAATTCAAGAATAAAATGAATGAGAGTAAACAAAGCAGAGACACTTACCTACATTTGGAAACCGAGAAACCCAACGACGCATAACATAGCGCTCGGGATCCTGTTATAAAAATAATTAAAAGATATAAAATTAATAAGAAAGAAAGAAAGGAAACAACTCAACAAATTCAATAGAGCATAAATAAATGAAGTGAAACAGAAAGATGAATATTAGAGACTGAAAAGAAAACACAAAAAACAGAATATTATATATATTATATTATATATATATATATATATATATATATATATATATATATATATATATATATATATATATATATATATATATATATATATATATATAATATATATATATATATTATATATATATATATATGAAATAGAAAAGCTTTTGATAGAATAATATAGAAAAATCTAACACAAAAATCAAATAGAAAAAACAACACCAAAATTAACATAGGGGAAAAAAAAATTAAAATAAAAGAGAATCAAACAAGACAAGATTAGAGAAGAAAAGCAAAGAAATAAATACATAAATAGAACATGAACAACCCCAAACAATACAAAAAGTAAAATGTTACAAATCAAATAGCAGCAATTTCAGAATATCCATCTAAAAAAAAAAAAAAAAAAAAAAAAAAAAAACACACAAAAAAAAATCAAAAACAAAGGAATAATCTAGAAAAATCTAACAAACTAGAAAGGGGCAAAACTAGACAAAACAGATAATAGACACTTACAAGAACGAAGACGTCGACAGGCCCGTCATAAGGAGTCAAATCCCTCCTCAGAAGAACGACACGAAACTGCACTGTGAAAAATAAGTCTTAAACTCGAGAAAAGGTATGAATGAGAATGGATATTCACAGTACAAGAGATGTATTTGACCGGTTTCGATTCTATCTTTGTCAGAAATATGTATTTCTGACGAGGATAGTCGAAACCGGTCAAATACATCTCTTGTATTGTGAAGATATCCAGAAATACATATTGCTGACGAAGATAGAACCGAAACCAGTCAAATACTTCCCTTGTATTGTGAAGATATCCATTCTCATTCATACCTTTTCTACATTTGTCACACGAATACGGTTAATTAAACTCCTTCCATCGAGGTATGTAGGCCTATAGATATTTAGATTGATTGTAGATTGGTAGATAAGATAGGTAGATATATAGGTTGAAAGATAGAAAGATAGGTAGATATATAAATAGCTGGATAGAATGATAGATATCTAAATAAAGATATACATGAATTTACATTCACTTTCATGGAAACATTAGACCAGGGGTTCCCAATCTGGGGGTACTTTCTAAGGGACTATGAAGCAATATAAAAATTATAACATCGAATTTATCTTTGGGGGATAATCTTTGTACTCTGAGGACATTCAATACCTCTTTTCATATGTTTGATATTTGTAAAATTCACAAATTTTCCTTTCCTGAGACTGGACAGGAGAAGAGCAAAAACTAAAAGGGTTACGTGGGTTGTAATAAAGAGGTCCAAGGAGAACACGATAGTCCAAACTTTGGGAATCACTGTGTGTGTATGTGTGCGTGTGAATGTATGTATGTGTTCACGTGTTTGTATCCGTGTACGCTTGTATACCTATTCATCAATACATATTTACATGCATGTAACATGTTATGAATACGCTTCCTTAGTCATGTAGATATACAGAAACTCTTCCTTTTTCCACAAGGCTTAATTCAGAAACAAGAACCCTAATAGCAATCATAAGATCACAACACCTGCTAGGAATCTACCGTCGCGTCTTTGTATGAATTATAAATAAAGTTGTACTTGGTTTGCAATATCGCGTCTTATCAGGAAGACCAGAGTGAATCTTACTAATTTTCCTTTAATAAAATGTTGGTGAGGACTATGTATACAGTAAAGTGTATGTAAGAGAATGATTCCTCTAGTAAGGAAGGTATTGCCATTATCATCATAGTTATTCGTATGATACTGATAATAAAAAATTTGATAATAATGATGATGGTTACAATATAGTAATGATATAATTATTGTTACTATCATGGATTATTATCATGGTAATGAACATGATAATTATGATAATGAAAATGTGAATAATAGCAGTAATAACTCAACAACAATAAACAAAAATATAATATAGTTATTACTTCATTCACAACCAGTACCATAATTATGATATTAATTGCGTTCCGACCGTTCAATAAAGTTCATCAAGACGTCCTCAGTTTAACTAATCCAGGTTGCAACTTTGTGAATAACGATGTATAGTAATATTATTTATATTAACTTCGTGTTCGAACATACCTGTTTTATTCAAAATTTCAAAAAGCGTGTAATATTTTCAATATTTTATTATTTTCTCGTAATATTATGTTCAATGTGACTGCGGACTTCAGGTCACTCCTCTGCGTTGTAACGAATTGATAATACATAATCTGAATATTTTTAATGCGAATCTAGGAAAATCTTATTCGAACTTTATTAATATAATTATCGTTATTATTGCAATCATTTGTTATTATTATCATAATTGTTATTATCATTGTTGTTATTATTGTCCTCATTATTAGTATCATTATTGTTATAATTATCATTCTTGTTAGTAATATTTTTTTATCAATGTTAACATCATCGTCATTGATATTAACGTTATTATTATTATTAATGATTATCATTATTATCATTATAATTATTTTCATCATCACCATAATTGTTGGTGTTGCTATTGTTCTTCTTCCTGTTATCCTCATTATTATTACTATTATTATTATCATTGTCATTGCTATCATTATTATTGTAATAATAATAATAATTGTTATTATTATTATCATTGCTATTATGGTT